ACATGTCCCAAATCAACAAGCACTTCAACACAATCACAACCAACAACTTCAACAAATACAACCAACAACTTCAACAAACATAATCAATCCTTTCTCGAAATTAAACGAGTTTGGCGTGTGGGGGAAAGAACCAACCCAACACTATGAACTCACATACCTAGTAGGGATCACCCCCGACGATATCCACGATGATCTCCTTGCTTGATCTTCCCTTTCTCCTCTTCTTCTCCTCTTCTTTCTCTCTTATCTCCCAAACCCTAACTCTCACTCTTTAAAATGGGAAAAACTGATCTAAAAAAATCAGCCTAACACCTCAATATAACCCAAAGAAATGATTAGGGAAAAGACCAAAATACCCTTAAAATTTCCGGACGGACTTCACTTCCCTGCCAACTGCCCAACTTCCAAAGGGCATAACTCACTCATACGAACTCGGAATCGAGCAAACTCGGCGGCGTTGGAAAGATCATTCCATGAGCTTCGTAACCATAACTGGAACTACACCCAACTCATCCTGAGATAGGATTTATTACTGTTCAAAGTTGGCCAAAAACTCACTTTTTTTTCCATACTTGGCCAATTTTCCAGATCTTTAATTCTTTCAAAAAAAAAATAAATCCAATTCTAAGTCTCTTCATAGTTATGTCAAATTGTTGGATGTTACATAATTTATTCATAATAATTCGATGACATATTACAAAAAAAAAAATCCTTTTAATAAAATATGTGAACAGGTAGTGTGACCAATGTTATTGTCTTGGCAATTTAACGATATTTTTCAATGGTCTTGACATGTGTCTATAATCTTTTTATTGATTAATTACATTTTGACACTTTTCCAAAAAGACGCGCTTATCTTATGAATGGATCCGACTCAATAATTTTTTCGAATAACATTAGAATAAAGCTAACCAGGCCAAGGACGCTCAAGAATAACTCTAGAAAGTTATTAGTTCTCTTTGAAGACACTATTACAAAATAAGGAGTTAGTTATGAATAAAATTTGATAATTAAATAACAAAAAATGTATATTAATTTTATTTAGTTATAAATTAGTACTAGATTATTAAAAAAAAGTTAATTAGCTAAAACTATTTAGACTTTAGTGATGAATTAATTAGAAATTACCGATACATTTTTTAAGTAGAAAGTGAGAGATTCTTTTAAGGTGAATAATGGACCGATGGTATAAGTTCCCATTTCCCTTTTTCTTTTAGAAATTCTAATTAAGTGCTAGAATTATTCTGAAGTGATAAAAAGAATAAATCAATACAAGGTCATGATATATTGTTGTGGCACATAAACCAATTAAGTTGAAAAAAATGTAATTGTTTTTTTTTTAAGATGTTGGGACTTGTTAAAATTAGGGTGCACAAAGGCATCAATTTACCACTCAAGGATACATTTCATAGTGATCCTTATGTTGTTGTTACCATGGGTGATCAGGTACATGTTATAATATCTTCTTCTTTGATAATATTTTTTTGCATATTTCATGAGTTTGATCATATTGAATGGTCAAATATATCGTCTTTTAGAGGCATATCTAGGATAGGTTTTTCGATAATATAGTTGATCGAGCTCCTATATTTTTATATGAAAAATATTACATTCATTAATTGCGACTCTTGATCACCCACGACTTTAACTTTTTAGAAAATCTTGCTTTTATGTCTTAGGACTCGTTACAAAACCAACAATTTGGTCTTAGACTATGTGTTTTATGTTTAAAAAAGTTTCTAAGAAGTTCACTTATATATTCTCTTTGTCTAATTAATTGTGTCACTTTTTTTTTAGTCCGTTCAAATGTAATAATTTTTTATATTTAGTAATCAAAAACGCTCACCTTACCTTGATGAAATTATTTATAAGCATACAAATATTTATTACCATAAGTTTAAAAAAAGAATCCTTCTTTTTGTTAATATTATTCCATTGTCTTGTCAAAATTTACAATATTATAAGAGGAAGTTTCAAGTACTCAAGCAGGCAACTCGTTAATATGCTTGCTTGAGCACTTTAAGGGTATTTGTGTAATTTTATTAGTGGTTCTTTCGTTTTAATTTGTTTCTCTTATTTTTTTCTTTTTTTATATATATAAAACTTTGACTAATTCTTGAAATTAATCTATCAGTGTCAACATAAAATGGGACAAAAGAAGTAACATGTATTATTTAATTTGGAAACTACGTAAAAAAGTATTGTAAATCTCAATAATTAACAATATTGAATTGACTCTTGAAATTCCATATGTCATACATATATTAGGACAAGGGGAATAACATATTTTGTTTAAAAAGTACTATAAATCACAATAATTAACAACTTAGAATATGTAAAAATCATATTAAAAATTAGTTAACTATCTAAACTCTATCTATATCACATAAACTGAGACAAAAAAATAACAGATATTGGGCCCGTGCTAGCACGTACACCTGTGTCCAAGTATATTCACAAAAATTGGAATGAAGTATATAAATAATATATCTCGAAAAACTATCTTGTTCTAAATCCAGAATTTATAAACTTAAAATCATGAATACGTCTTTTTGGTGTTTCATCATGTAAAAGTTTAAATAACATCTGTTATTTGTACTGATATTCTGCAATTGTCTTATAGAAAGTGAAGACTAGTTGTAAGAAGAACAACTGCAACCCTGTCTGGGATGATGAATTGACCCTTGCACTCAAATATCCAAATGTTCAAATTGTTTTGGTGAGTATTCTCTCTTAATATTATTCTTCAATGAAACTAATAAAGCTCAATTGTAGCTAAATATTTTTACGTTAATAGACAGAAAATCTATTATTACTAAATGTCTTTGGCATAATACATAAACATGATTCCTAACTTGGCTTCAACAGACAGTTATGTCCTCAAACTTTGAGTGTGCACAAGTAGTCACTTAAACTTGTATAAAATTGAACAAGTAATACATGTAGCCTGTAGGACACAAAATACCTATGTATGGTGCCATGTAGAACGAATGTGTCCATTTGTTTAATTTTATAAAAGTTTAAGTGCCCACTTGTGCACATCCAAAGTTAAAGGTCATAGTTGTCAGCTGATGTTAAGTTAAGGGTCATGTTTATGTATTATGTCAATGTCTTTTTTGTTGCAGTGAAGGTAAAAATTCAATTAGCCAACCAATTGAGCTACTAATATTTCTTGATATATATAATTTTAATTTGATGATTATAATATTTTCAGACTGTGTATGACAAAGATACATTTAGTAAAGATGACAAAATAGGTGAAGCAAAGATAGACATCAAACCATATCTTAAAGTATTGGAGATCATGAGCTATCATCAAGACCTTCCAAATGGTGTCAAAGTTGACAAAGTTCAGCCAAATAGAGACAATTGCTTAGCTAAGGAAAGTTACATCATATGGGAAAATGGCAAATTGATCCAAGACATGACACTTATTTTGCAAAATGTGGAATGTGGTGAAGTAAAATTGCAAATTGAGGTGATTCCTAAAATGTTATCTGAGGATGCATTTTATATTGCATAAGCTATAATTTTATTAGTAAATTTTATAATATGTATAAGTGCTAAGGGATGAGCCTTGTATTAGGTCATTCTAATTGATAAATAATGTGCAAACACTAGTTGGTATTTGCCACATGCTTTATGTAATATAAGGGCCATACTATTTTTACTATTTTTGTTGTAATAAATTAAAATCATTGTGTTTGATGATCTAATCAACTAATAGTATTATGGTTGAAGAGAAAATAATAATAATAATACTCAGTCAGACGTTCAATAAAAGTGTATTAAATCAAGAATAAATATAATACGCTTCTATTATAGACGTTTTATTCTAACTGTATTTACGGAAGGCCAAGACTACGAAATAGACATTACGATATAAAGAGCTTTATTTGAACACAAAGATCTTTTAAAAATTATTACATGAAATATTTTATGATAATGGATATTTAAGAAACAATACATGAATTTTTTAATAATTTTAAAAAAAAATATCTCTGTATTTTAATTTTTCTTTTCACCCTTATTTAAGGTCCATTAATATAAAATGGCTCCTACTATATATGTAAGTATATCACATATATAAAATAGGGAAAAAGTACAAATATACCCCAAACTATCGTAAATGGTATGCAGATACCCTCCGTCATACTTTTTGGACATTGGTGCCCTTGCCGTCCAAAAACTAGAGCATATATACCCTTTATACTAACGGACATACACATAATCTTATCCATCGATCCAACATTTATTAAATATCAGATTGACGGATAAGATTGCGTCACATGTCCCTAATTAGTCTTCCGTTAGAGTGAAGGGCATATATGCTCTAGTTTTTTGACGGTAGGGGCACCTATGTCCCAAAAGTATGACGAAGGGTATATGCATACCATTTACGATAGTTCGAGGATATATATTTGTCCTTTTACCCTATAAAATATAATGTGATAAAAGAATAGTGCCTTACTCCACTGGAATTTTCTCTTCAAGTCCATGTGACATGTTGCTATATAATGTATATAACTGACATTGTATATAAAATATGGTTGAGAAATATTTACTTTCTAGAAAGAAAGTAAAGAACACAATTCCCAAAAACCAATCTTTCATTTCTTTTAGAAAAAGATCATTTATTCGAGGGATGTGGGCACGTGGCTAGTAGTTAAGACTCTTCTATTTTTAATCAGAGATGAGTAAATATTAAGACCTAGATAAGTAAATAAGGAAAGTCCTAATTAAAAGAAGCATTTTCTTTTTATTAATGGATCGTACGTGATATGAATTTAGATTAATTAAAGTTCTAATATGAATAATATATCTAATGTAATCTCGTAAGTAAAGTCAAGAGATATGGTGTATTCATAGATCTTACTCTTACCTAACCTTGTGAAAATAGAGATTATTTCTATTAAGCCATCAACTCGACCAAAATATATCAAAATCAAATATAGAAAAAAATACAAGAGCAATATTAAAAAATACAAACTGTTTTTTTGAATCCACAACAAAATATGTTAGAAATTACATATTCACTCATTTTGCCTTATTTTATTTTTATTCTTGATACATGTAGTAGACATTTCAAAGCACACTCATTAATAACAAACACACGTACGTTATTACAAGACTTGAGAGAACATCTTAGTTCCAAGCATTCACCATATATTATTCGTATTCTTTAAAAATATTGTCACACATATGACAGTATAGCATGTGTCAATATATTTTAAAAGAATCCGAGCAATATATATATAAACATAGGTATATATCAATTGAGATGGTGAGTCTCAATATCTTTTGTGACATTGAGGCAAAATTCCATCAAAGTGTGTGGATCTGGCACATTACAATTCTTCTTTTCATATTCCAAGATCCAAGTAACTATATTATCTTCACCTTTTGTTTCAACATGAACAGTGACGTAAAATGGATTATAAGCCTCCAATATATCTCCTCCAATCACTTTGAATTTAACCAACTTCTTTTCTTCATCTATTTCTTCAATTACTTCCTTTGCCACCTTCTCTTTCCCATCTACAAGCAAAGATATATAGTACAAATTTAATACTACTAATCTGAAAGAGTTAAAATGATTTGAATTAATAAACGCATAAAAGCATAGCTCATTGAAAATTTGATTGGGTTAATGGATCGAACATGTCAATTTAAGATAAATAATGTGTCACAATTTAATATGTCTAACTTAAAATCTCTTTTTACTTGTTTATTATTTAATTGTCTAATCAAACTAACCAAAGTTTACTCCATTTAATTATCATGTCTTTATCTAACCAACTGTGGCAACCAATATGTCCAATCCAAAATCAGTACTTTTTATTGTTTATTATTTAGTTACCTAATCAAACCAACCAAAGTTTTACCCTTCATTTAATTATCAGGTCTATATCTAACCAATCAAATCCAAAAAATTGTTTATTTTTATATGTGATTATAAATTTTGACATGTCTAAACTTTTATAAGATTAGATTATGGCCTATTGTTTAATTAAGACAAAACATGTACTGAGTATTGGAACAATTGACTTAGATATAAAAATTTTACTTCCCTATCTCAACTATTGAATAGTATATTTTTAGAAACAAATTAGCTTTCATTTTTTTAGTTTATCATTATTGAGATACTATATATCCACACAAATGTCTAAAACTTATTGTAAATCACAACTTTAAAAAGCTATCTATTTCTTATTCTTTCTCTAAATTTTAAATCCAATCAAACGATTTCACATAAATTGGAACAAAAAGATAATACTAAACTTAAAATGCATATCATGGATTTCGAACTCAAAACTTCATTAAAAGTAGGAAACATTTTCTCTTTAATGGACCATACGGATCATAAATCTAGATTATTTGAGTCAGTAAATATCAAACATCGAATAACAAGAAAGAGTAGGATGTAGGCTTACCATGGGTGAAGTTCCAAAAGATAACAGAACCAACCGTGCCCCATTCACCTTCATGAATATCGACATTTTGTATATAACCAGGTGACATACTAGAAATATGATGTGGTCTATACCTAAATATTTCATGAAACACATCCCCATCAGATTTGATATTTATCTCTGAAACTAACTTTCCTGTTAGGTGATGAGTCTCAATATCTTTTGTAACATCAAGACAAAATTTCATTAGTGTGTGAGGATCTGGAATATCTTGATTCAACTTCTCATATTCCAAAATCCAAGTAACTAAATTGTCTTCACCCTTTGTTTCAACATGAACAGTGATGTAAAATGATTTGTAATAGTCCAATATATCTCCTCCAATCACCTTGAATTTAACAAGCTTCTTTTCTTCATCTATTTCTTCAATTATTTCCTTTGCAACCTTTTCCTTCCCATCTATAATATACACAAGCTTTAGTTAGCAACTTTCAAATAAAGTGTATATAACAAATTATACTTATTGACTCTTTAAATTTTGAATTCATCTATGCATATTATATTTACACAAATCTTTAATGTGCAAAAAAATACTCCATTTAATTGAATTAAGTATTGTTTTACCTAAATCAATATGGTTCAAATTAAGTAAGTGTCTATAAATCAAGATAACATTATTACCTCCATTTTAATTTATTTGTGTTCCTTTCTTTTTTTAGTTTGTTTTTAAAATGATGTTTTTTTTTATCTCTTTAATTTCAATTTTACACATGACATATTTAAGACCACAAAATTAAAAGACATTTGAATAATATTTTATGTATCTTTAGTATATCATCATAAGATTCAAAAAAATTCCTTTACTTTTTAAACTCTAAATCAAATCAAAACCATACAAATATATTAAAATAGAGGAAGTAATTATTTTTGTCAACTCAACCCTTTCACCAATAAATGATCTAATAAAGAGTAATTTGAGGAACAATAAGGTTAATTTATTCAAATGATCATATGGGGATGCAGCGTTGTGATAGCAGACTCATCTGAATCGAGTACTCTCAATGTAGATCTTAAGTTTACGCATAAATATTTACTAAATTTGTAATAAATATAATAGATCTGAAATCATAACTTATAAAATATAATACATTTAAGGCTAAGAAGCATATCGTTTGAATTTATATATATTTAAATTATGCATTTATGCATGTATCTTTATTTATGATCACCAATCATTAATTTTTTTTTAATAAATGTGTTAAAAACCTTAAACAATACTTATTTTAGACCATAGAGAGTACCATAAAATGGAGGCTGACAATATAAGGGCAGATCTAGCCCTTAAGGTACATGTAGATTCAAATTATCCTTATTTTTAATTTGTTAAATGGATCTTCAATCTAATTCAACCTCAAAAATTCAAAATAATATTTGTAAATATATTATTATGGACTACTCAAGTAAGTTAAAGTATTATTTTATGTTAACTCAAGATCATTATAGAATTATATAAACTTTAAAATCGAAATTCACTTCTGATCAATATAACAAGAAGTTGAAGTGGTATAAAAAGTGGTGGCAACTTACCATGGGTAAAATTCCAAAAAATGACAGAGCCAACGGTACCCCATTCACCTTCATGAATATCCACATTTTGTACTTTATCAGAACTCATAGTTGAAATATGATGTGGTCTATGCTTAAAAATCTCATGAAACACATCTCCATCACACTTAATATTTATCTCTGAAACCAACTTTCCTTCAAGACTCATTTTGTCTTCTCTCTCAAATGAAATCTTACAAAGATGAAGTGTGTGTGGTTCATTATTAACATGAATCTCTATGTCCTTTTATAGTTGGACAATATGTCTACACCATAAATCTTTTATATATTTTTAGAATATAAATATTAACAATTGAAAATTTTAACAGCTAAGTTAGTTGATTATCTAAACTTTTTGTAAGTGTTCAATTTTCCACTCAGTAATGTCCTTCTCCATTTCCCCTTATTTATTTTTTAAAAATAAATAATAACACTCGACTTAAATAAGGCATATCAAAATCAGTTTGAAAAGAAAATATACTAGTAAAAATAATCTTATAAAAAATAAAGAAAACCAAAAGATACAAAGTTGCGTTATATATTTTATATATGATTTCCCTTTTCTCTCTATATTTATAATGTATAATATATAGTCGTCGATACAAAAAGGGCTCTTCGTCTATATCTATCCCAACTTCTAAGCAATTATATTTTTATATACTTTTTTTTTATTTTAAAATAAGTGTTACGTTATATTTTTATTTTGTTTTGAAATAAATAATATTTTACATAACTAAAAAGACATAAATGATATTTTTTAATTTGAAATTTATTTAAGTGAAGAAAATTTTATTTAATAAAAAAATTACTAAATGATACACTTTTTCCAAAATATTTATATTAAGTATAAGTTAATAAAAATACTTCCTTTGTTCATTTTTACTTGTCACTGTTTGACTTGATACACCCTTTAAGAAAATAATTATTGATATAGGTATTTTATCAAAATATTCCTATAAGATGATGTTTAGTGTTAAGTTTTGGAAAATGATTAGGAGAATAAATATTTAATTGTGAAGGTAAAACATGGAAAAAATAATTGTATTTTTTAATATATCAAAAGTGACAAGTAAAATGAAAATCTATTTTAGAAATAAATGACAAGTAAACGTGAACGGAGGGTGTATATTTGACTTTCTAAAAATGAAAATAAAAAGAATATCTATTTAGAGCTAATAAAATGGATCATGTTTTTCAGTTTTTATTGGGATTGACCCATATTATATAGTAGTTAATACTTAATAGTAGTATAACTTAAAATCTAGGTCATTGCCCTATTTTATTTTATTTTTATACCTAGCTGTCTCGTGTTTGCGAGTTGACCAATTGATTTGTTATTGTTTAAATCGTAATTAGAATACTGGTTTTATAAGATTTGAATGGTAAAAATCATAAGTAAGATATAATTATTCTAAAAGATAAAATATCTTTAAGGAATTGGGAAGTGCAATAAAAAAAAATTAAAAGAAAATCCAAAATATTATATAAATGAATAAAAAAGATGAAGATATATGTGAATAAATTCAGTATAATTAGTCTTGATAATTTGATACAAAGTTATATATATATATATATATATATATATATATATATATATATATATATATATAACGAATTTAGATACCTTACTTTAAAAAGTTGTCATTTCTTAAACTTTGTAAACTTACTTTAAAAAGTTGTCATTTATTTTTTTCTTTAAAACGAATTTAAGAAAATACTCTCTCTGTCCCTAATTACTTGTCCATTTTTCTTTTTATAGTTGTCCCTGATTACTTGTCCATTTTGACAAATCAAAAAAGGACAAACTTATTTTACCTACTATATCCCTAATTAATTACTTTGCAAAAGGTAGAACTTTTTTTAAATTTTAAACTTTTAACTCATTCACTTCATAATTAATAGGGGTAAAATGATAAACTCACTATATCAATAATTATTTTCGTAATAGATATGTCAGTTTAAAAGTATACAAAGTAATTAGGAACCGAAAGAGTACAAAGTAAGGAATTGAAAAGTTGTCATTTCATACCCCTCAAATGTACTTTAAAAAGTTGTCATTTCTTCTTCTTTAGTCTGAATTAATAAATTAGATACCATACTCTCTAAATTAGCAACCTATATCTATTTTAATTTTTTTTATATTATGATATTTTGTTCTATTTTAATCAAAATTATGAATTTACCAATAGAACAAGTAAATCTTATTTATAAAGTAAGAAATCGTTTTTAGGCATATATAATGTTATGTTGGAATAATAATAAAATATTATATTTTTTTATTTTATGAGTAATTTTGATAATAAAACCAAAACATAATTTATACAATTAAAAATGAAAGAATAAAAAATATTCAAATATCTATTAAATGTATGTAATATAAAGTAATTATAAAAAATAGAATATACTAAATATCTTATTAATTCTCTAAATCTATTATTTGGCAATAAAAAGGGACTTTTCTATTTAAGAAACATATATTTTTAATAAGGATGATATATAAATAAAAATAAAGAAGATAATTAATATAGACGATAAAATCTATTGTTTAGATATTGAATAAATTAAAATGAACGGAGAATAATCGATTAAATATATAAAAAAAAATACGTCAGGATGACAGAATTAAAAAAAATTATTTTTGCTTTTCTTCTTTATTGATTTGAAAACAAACGTTATTTCACCAATAGGACTTGTTTTCGAGAGCAATAATGGATACTAATTATGATGATTACTGCATTGATTTTTAATAAGGATGATATATAAATAAAAATAAAGAGAATAATTAATATAGACGACAAAATCTATTTTTTAAATATTGAATAAAGAACAATCGATTAAATATATATATAAATAAGTCAAGATTATGATGATTACTAGGAAGATGGGACATGTTTTCGAGAGCAATAATTGATACTCCCTCCGTCCCATTTTATGTGGCGATATTTGATCGGGCATGAAGTTTAAGAAATAAATGAAGACTTTGAAATATTTACCAAATTGCTCTTTAAAAAGTAGACTCATTTTTCTCTCTCCTCATAAATGTATTGGAGTATTATTTTAAGATTAAGTGGGATCAACAAGGGTAAAAAAGGAATTGTACCTTTAAATACTTACCATATAAGAAGATGTGACATTCTTTTTAGGGCTAACCAAAAAGGAAATGGTGTCACATAAAATGAAACGGAGGGAGTATTAATTATGATGATTACTAGGAAGATGCTTTTATGTGCATAGAGGTGTATGTATTAAAAACTTTGATTTTGAATAAATAATTAAGGAAAAGGTATAAATTCTCTTAAAACTTGTCACGAAAAATCAGTTACACGTTTATACTATTATGACGATCTATTACACACCTGAATTACTTGAAAGTGAATTTATTTCAACTGACACACATACAACCAGTCACATGATCAGAAAGTGTTTCACACTCGCGTCACGTCATCACCATGTCACTCCCACATCAATAAATACGCCAGATTTTTTAAAAAAATATTCATGTCACCCAATTTCTTCTTTTTCCCTATACACCATCAAACCCACCATTAAATCACTATCATTATTGCTATTATCATCAAATTCACTTCTCCACGACCCATAATCAAATTCACCACCGAAATCTTCCACAACCATTGCCATCATAAAAAATTGATAACAAACATCATAAATTTAACTAAATTCACCATCGGAATCATATCACTATCATTGAAATTCATCACAATCATAACCATAAATTCACCATCCACATCAAAATCATGAGTTTCATTGACATTATCGAAATTAAAAGTCATACCACCACTAATTTTTCACCCATCACCAAACTCACCACAAAAATTATCACAATATACGAATTTCATTCAAGCTCAAATAGAGAATTGTGAAAACTTGCAATAATTATTTGCAAAGATTTTAGTCACACAATTGAAAAACTAATACTCGATTTACTATTACTGATTTTGAAGAAAATTTAGAGAGGATTTTTCTGAGAAAGAAGAAAGATCTATGAACTTACATTAAAAGTTGAATTTTGTGAAAAAACCCAGAAACTTTTTACACAAAAAAGCAAGATCTGAATTTTTTCTTATTTCAAATGCTCACAATCAACAAAAAAAACACAAAAATAAATTGAATAATCCGTTCTTGACTTGACGAATTTGATGTGGGAATAGTAAGGATTGACCAATTCTAGATGTCTCGCCGAAAATTTTTTCGAACAGTGAACCTAATTAATTGAACAACTTCACGATCTTTGCGATGAATTTCTATCCCGCAATGTTGTTTTCTATTTTTCTCTTAAAAATTTATCATGAAAAAAAAAATATTTTTCACATTAGCCATGGCAAAATGAGTGTTTGTGATAAGAAAAAAAATGGAGGAAGAAGAAAGGTAGGGTAACATGAAGGAGAAGGGTGGGGGTGGAAAAAATTTTGTCTTTTTTTTTTAACTCTAACGCGCCTTTTTTATTTTTTTTATTTAATCTTATTTTCATGTCAGCTTTGAGGGTGGTATTAAATTCACTTTTGAATGGTGTGTGTAATAGGTCGCCTCAATAGTTTAAGTGTGTAACTGACTTTTCGATACAACTTCAAGGATGAATTTATGCCTTTTTGTCAAATAATTAAGTACTATATAATATCCTTTTGGTATGATTTAGTATTTTTAAGTTTGATTTTAATTTTTTTATATAATAAATTTATAATCATAATTTTTTCAGCTTCAACTTAATTTCTACTTTTTTAGAGATGTTTCTATTTTTTTCATACTATAAGTATTAGTAACACCTTATATATAGGAATATTCAAAATAAAGCATAAATAATTTCCTTAGTTAATTATCTACACAAAAATGATATGTCAATTAAATAGGGTAGTTTGATTTTAATGTTTTGTTATATAATAAATTGATAGTCATAGTTGTTTGATTTCAATTTAGTTTTTTTTTTTGTTTTATGAAAGTTCTCAATTCAAAAGAAAAATAATTTTATCTGTTAATCAATCATGGAAAAGATATTTCAATTAAAATAGAATAGTCGAAATTTCAACATCTAAAATAATCAGTTTCTACAAATACTAATTAATTAATTTATTAGCATTTCAATAATATACATTAATTGTATATGTAATTATATACTTCTATATCATTTAATATTTTTATATTTTTTATAAGTACCAAAATATCATATCGAATATTTAAAAACATAGTATATAATAGTAAGAACTCAGCTCAAGTACTTGAAGGTTCAAACAAAATTTTGGTT